ACACAGGGGGCCACCTACTCAGCTGTTCTCAAAAACAGTGTTTGTATCTCTACTTCGGCATCAGGAAAGACTGAGAATTGTCTATATAATGTTAGTATGACCTTTTCTGTATCTCTAGGTTAGACCTCGCAGCCTGAATAAGAAAAGCTACTAAAACACATAAGCATGTTCCTGTGTGCTGTTTATGCATATGTCATGAAACATCTGGTCCTGGTTTCTTCTGAGACATTCTTTTTGGGTGTTAGAATTTGTAGTTATTTTGATAGAGAACCACTGGCATACATACCTCCTTACACATCTTAGAGTAAAGTTTTCCACAGAATACCAGGATTAAGTGTCTTTCTTTTGCAGGAGAGGAAAACCATCTGTTTACTTTTTTTTTATCAACATTTCTTTTAAACCAATATCTGTAAGCATTCTCCATGGAATTTTAAAAGCTTTATCTGTTGTTTCACTGTGTATCCCTAGTGCCAAAATTAATAGGCCCTTAATAAACATTTTTTTAATAAATGAGAATATCTCATAATTATTTATTATAAAACAGAGAAAAGCATAATTGGGAATCCATTGAGTCATAGATGAGGAAGAAATCATGGACAGTAAGTTGATGCTTTTTTTCTTTGAATTGTAAGAAGAGAAAGTCAAGTAAGTAGTACTAAATGAGAATGAGGCTGATCTGTCAGGGAAAAAAATGAAATACCTCTTCATTGTTTGGGAAATAAACACATCCATATATGTTCAAACATACACACGTGTACCACACAGATCAGACTGGTGAAAAGCCAAGTTCACAGTCAGGGTTTCCCAGTAACACTCCCTGACTCCAATGTTTCCTCCCAACAGTGTAAGACCCACTGGATTACACAAATCTTTCCATGTTTTTGTCATTTGCTGAGGACACAGTGAGGACAGGGGGGTTATGGGAACTATTTTTACATTGTTGTAAAACTTATTTGGACTCAATATTTCCCTTCCCTATTTCTTTCTCATTTATCCTGTCTAAAGTTTCTTTGAGTCTTTCCCCCAATACTCATGACAAATTTTATTTCCAATGCAGAGCTCTGCAGGAAGTATGAGAATTCAGAAACAAAAAGTCATGAGATGTGTTTTTTTCCACCTCCCCTTTTCCATCCCCACATCTCCATAACTTTGTGGTTTTAATATAACCTGAAATAAAACTGCACAATAAACTGTCAGGTGTTATGGAGTAACCACAAAATGCTCAGAATTTCAGCTTGATCCAAATTGAATTGTATGTCCCGAATCATGTGCACACCACAGCCTCTTGAATTTGCAACACTCAGGGTCAAACAGAGTTCGTTATTCACTGTTTGGGTAATCAAACCCTGAGATGGTCAGCTTCACATGACCATTATCATATGCAATACAGATTTTTAAATTATTATATATATTTCAGGAATAATGTGTAACATATACATGTTGTCCATTCAATGCTTCAGATAAAGTTTTAATGATTCAAATTAAATTACAGTTTGTTTTTTTGTTTTAGAAACCAGAACATACCAGAGGCCTATGTTTTCTGACCCTAACCCTTACAGTGCTCAGAAATTGAGCAAAATGACAAGAGCAACATTCATTCAACACATATTTATTGAGTGCTATGCTGTGCCAAGCACTGTGGTAAGTGGTAGAAAAACCATGGTGAACAAAACAAAGGCCCTGCTCTGGCAAAGCATCTGTTCCATCAGAGTGGCATATTTAGTAACTAAACATAAAATGCTACCTGGCCATATGTGCATCGAAGAAAAATAAAGTAGAACAAAGGGATAGTGATGAAATGAGATATCATTTTAGGGAGGGAGGTCAGGGAAAACCTCTGTAATGAGGTGGCTTTTGACCAGAGGCCTGAATGAGTCGAGGGATTTAGCCAATAGGTACATGGGGGAATAAGGTTCCAGATTAGAGATTAGCAAAGGCCCTGGGGCAGGAGCCAGACAGGGTGCTTCAGAAATGACAAGCAGAGAGGTGTGTGATGTGGCACAGATAGTGATGAACTTAAAGGACTTGATCTATTTAAGGCAGACAGGTTCTACTCATCTGCAGGTGACTCCCATCATGTACCAAGACAGGACTAATGTTGGCAAATATTTAATCATTTTTAAGAGAAAATGGGAAATGTGAACTTTTTTATGACATCCCTTTCTTCATGTATCATCCCCCTTCTCCCTTTCCAAATGGGCTGGTGAAGCGTTGCTTACACTTCACATTGGTGCAGTGTGGAGGCATATGCAAGACTAACATAGCCATCACACTGCATTGCGTTGGGCAGTTCCCAGAGTATCTTCCACATATGTGATCTCATTTGATTCTCTCAACTACTCTTTAAGGTCAGGCAAATATTATTATTCCCATAAATAAATCAGCTCAGAGAAACCAAGTATCCACCCCAATGTTTCATAGCTACCACATGCTAGAGCAAGAACTTCCAAACTCAAAGTCTGAGATTTTCCTGTTCTTCTTACATAACTAAAGCTTGAGATGTAGATATATAATATCTTCTAACAAAATTAAAAATCAGTATAAACCATTTTTCAAGATTAAAAATCAGTCTCATATTTCTAACTTTTTCATATTATGAAAGATTTTTATGCCTGTGTCATTCCAAATATTAATTTTATGAGCCATATACAATGAAATACATTCTGATATTTCTCAGAGGAAGAAGAGAGTTTTCATATGATCAGGACATGTATTATAAAACAAACTATTTCTAAGATATTAATTTACCTCTTGCTATTTTGAGTTTGTCTAAGATTCATTAAATAGAAAACTAAACAATTCTAATCATGATGTTAAGCTAAACTGTGAGCTTCTAATCATGAATCTTTGTAATAAAAGAGTTGTATTTTTATGCCAACTGAAAAAGTTTCTCAAGCTACCGGAAATTCCTATTGCAGTTGACCCTTGAACAATATAGGTTTGAATTGTGCATGTCCATTTAATGTAGATTTTTTTCAATTGACCCTCACAGTTCAATTGATTTTCACAGTTCAACTGATCCCTATTGTTCAGGGATAAACAGGTAATTGGAAATCCACTTGTACAAACAGATTTTCCATCAAGCAGGCATTTGGGACTCTTAATCCCACATTGTTCAAAGGTGAATTGTACCATACATGGCAACGCATCTGAGTGCAGAAAATAAAATTAAGCCTTAACGAACAGAGTTAAAGCATCTGTTATTAATGAAAATTTCCCTATCACTGTAACAGCAGATAAATACTAAAAACCAAGCATGTATCTTTCTTGAAAGTTTTAAACAAAAAAATTCTTGCCCCTACTAAATGTTAGAAATCTAGGAAGGTAAAATTTTAAAGAATGGATACTGTCACCAAATTGTGACATTACAGAAAGTGTTATTTTAGCAACCTTTATACATTTGTTAAGAAGTTAATAATATTTTAACCATTAAACCTAGAAAATAGAGAACAACACAAAATAGAAGATATAAACAGTGTGACCATGGTATTTAAAAGAATATCATGTTTGCTCACATCAGCACAATCAGAATTATGAGGTTAAGATTATAAATCATTTACCCCTAACAAAAGTAATTATAAAGTGAAACTGATAAGTTTAGTAGCAATTCAAAATAGGGTAATTGACATAAAAAATATATGGATGAGAAAACTTGTTGGAATCTAGGTGAAGAAGAGAAATGGTGTTAAATTTTAAGTTTGAAAGTATGCTTTCTTGGCTAGCCTTAGAAACAGTCACCAGACCCTGCTCTCCCTCTCTCATAATACCCCATCCTCTTTCTTTCCAATTTGCCAGTCACGATGGCTCCTGTAAAGAAGGGTGGTAAGAAGAAGGGCCGCCCCGCCATCAACGAGATGGTGACCAGGAAGCACACCATCAATATTCACAAGTGCATCTATGGTGTGGGTTTCAAGAAGCATGCCCCTCGGCACTCAGGAGATCTGGAAATTTGCCATGAAGGAGATGGGGACTCTGGACAGGTGCAATGCCACCAGGTTCAACAAGCTGTCTGGGCCGAAAGAATAAGGAATGTCCCATATTGTATCTGGTTACATTTGTCCAGAAAAATGTAATGAGGATGAAGATTCACCAAACAAGCTATATATTAATACATTGGTCATCTATGTGCTTACCACGACTTTCAAAAATCTACAGACTGTTAATGTGGCCGAGAACTAATGCTGATGGTCGAATAAAGTTATAAAACTGCAAAAAAAAAAAAAAAAAGAAAGAAAGAAAGAAAGAAAAGAAATAGTTCACCCAAAAATCTAATTATAGAACATTGAAAAGTTATTCCGTAGTTTTCCTTTCCTCTCTGTGACATAAGAACAATAATATAAATTCTTCCCTAGCTGCTCTTGCTCAGTGGTTAGATTGATTGTAAGCCTTTGGATCAAAGGGTCAAGGGTTCAATTTCTGGTCAATGGCACATGCCTGATTTGTAGGCTCCATACAGCCCCAGGTTGGAAGTAGGGGTACATCTCTCTCTCCCTTCCCCTCCTCCCTCCTTCCACTCTCACACACACACACAAAAAATAATATAAATCCTAAGTATTTCATATCTATATATATAAAAGGCCAATGTGCTAAGTGTCCAACAGTTTGATCGGTCACTATGACAACACTGACCAACAGGGGACACTAAACACAGGAGCTGCCATGATGCACAATAGCCATTTAGACCCCACCAAATCCCAGCCATGGCTACCCAGCCCCCATGGTTCAAATGTGGCCACAGCCCAGCCCATCCCAGGCTGGAAATAGTGGCTGTGGGCACAGGGTAATGATGTCACATAGCAAAACTGGGCTCCTCTTCCTAGTGACTAGCCTCCTTGGAGTTTCTTCAGCCCAGGAACATGACTTGCTTTATAGCAGGTGGAAACTTTTTATACCTTGACCAAATGTCTGAAAGTGTTTTCACCTGCCTCATCTCATTTGATCCTCACAGAAGCTCTGGAGTAAGTAGATAGGAGACTTAGTGGAATTCTATATTCTTCTCCTTAGCCGGAAAACAGAGATATAGAAAGCTTAGAAACTTGATCCGACTGAAAAGAAGAAATGGTGGACCTTGAAAATGACTTCAGGATTTCTCACTGTGCAGATATAGTCAAACACTGCTGCAGTTAAATATTTTACCCTTTGTTCTCCCTGTGTGATCTATAATGATAATCTGTTTCGTGTTGATATTTACTGCTGGATTGCTGACAATTACCTAAAAGAGAAGTTTGGGTGCTTCACTGGGCTGGAAAAAGTTTAGCTACATCAGAAAGCAGGTCTAATTAAGCAAGTTTATTGTATATCTATAAAAGAGTAAGTTGTCTTGTGCATGCATTATATAAAGCTCTCACTGGCACCAATTGCACTCATGTGTTTCGATCTGTCATTGTTGATAGTGAATTTGGTTGACATGTCTATTATAGAGAAAGGGTGAATAGTGATATTAAAATATTTGTTCTAATTAATTTCCTTTCAATTTGCATGAATTCATGCACTAGGCCACTAGTATAATGTATAAGAAAAAAACTGAGTTAATAAGCAAAGATCATCATTTATTATTAATTTCTGTATCAAAAATAGTGTTTGTGCCAGAACCGGTTTGGCTCAATGGATAGTGTTGGCTTGGGGACTGAAGGGACTCGGGTTCGATTCCGGTCAAGGGCATGTACCTTGGTTGCGGGCATATCCCCAGTAGGGAGTGTGCAAGAGGCAGCTAGTTGATGTTTCTCTCTCATCGACGTTTCTAGCTCTCTATCTCTCTCCCTTCCTCTCTGTACAAAATCAATAAAATATATTTAAAAAAAAACACCTTAGTAATAAGAAATTACAAAGCCCTACCCTTTCCCCATAGATTTAAACTATATATACAAATAATTTAGAAAAAATTAAAAAAAAAACAAAACTTGTGAGATCTAGCCAAAATTTAAATGTAAGGCAAATTAATAATTTCAATAATTTTGTTATTATATAAAACAGAATCAAAGTTAATGAATGAAATATTAAGAAAAAAGCTTTAGGACATCAGGATAATTAGAAAGTAGAAAATCAATAAATTAGCAATTTCAGAAGTTGGTTATTTAAAATAAGCAATATGGAACATAAAATTCTGACAAATTTTACTAAGAAAACAGAGACATAATCAAATAAATCTGAAGAAGAGATTTAAAAATGAAAAAAAATTTAAATATTGATCATGAAATGACAGAAATAATTAAAATAATTAAGAATGTCTTAATAAGCACTCTGGAAAAAATTTTTATCAGTAGAATAATAAAAAACAGAAATAATGGAACTAGTAGACAAAGATGCTAAGGCAACTATCATGATTATATATATTAACATTGATAAGAAAACATAAACTTAAGAGAGAAATAGAAGCTATTTAAATAAACCTAGTGGAATGTCTATAATTAAAAGATACAATATTTGTAATAGAAAACTACTGAAAGGGAAGAATCAGTGGTAAAGAGAACATCTTAAAGAAAAAGAACTTATGCACAGAAGAACAATAATATAGAAAAACTCTCAACAGAAATTATGTAAGCTAGAAGACAATGGAATTATATAATTTTTTAAAATAAGATAAAAAATCTACATAAATTTAAAATAAAAACTTTTTGAGCTGAACAAGGTTAAAAAAGTCATCGGGAATAAAACTACATTACAAGAAGGAGGATCCAAGATGGCTGCTCGGGTAGACACCTAACCACAGCAGCACACAACAATTTCAATGGAATACAACTAAAATGTAGAGTGGACATCGCCCAGAGCTACAGGTAGTCGACTGACTGAAAATTCTACAACAAGAAGGAAAGAGAAAACCAGAAGGAAAATCAGAGGAGCTGAAAAAAAGCCTAAGGTATGGAGACATGCTGAGCGCTCACATGCACGCGCGCGCGAGGAGAGGTCGCAGCCGGAGAGGAGGAGAGGGCTGGGTGCTGCCTGGCGTTCCCTAGCAGGAAGGAAATAAAACCCCCAGCCTGGGCTGAACCCCAGAACCGGCAGCGCTGACCCCCAGTTATGAGACAGACCCTGGGGACCCAGGCTCGGGCAGGGGGAGGCGGGGCTGTGAGGAGGAATCCCAGGGGAGTGGCGAAAAGCGGAGCCCCCAGAGTCGCACGCACTGCGCACAGAGGACAGTCTGTTGACTCTGATCCTGGACTCCCCTAGCGGGAAGGAGAAAAAAAAAAAGCTCCAGACTGGAGGAATGCTACAGGGAGCAGGAGCCCCTGCAGGACACCAGCCAGCCCGGCGCGCGCCGGCAGGGAGCCAGGCGACGGGGCCCCCAGCGGGGGGTGCCCCTGAGCCATCGACCTCTGAGCATGGGCAACGGAGCCAAGGCCGGGGGCTGCTTCCTGGGCGGCGCCGACCCCAGCAACAGGCTGTAGCAGCGCAGGAGCCCGCGGAGAACACAGGCCAACCTGCTGAGCTCCCAGGACAAGGAGGAAGAAAACAAAGTTCTCAATGTGAAGAAATCAAGTGAGAGCAAAAGATAGTAAAATTACTTAAGAAAGAATACAAAGAACATCTTGAAAATTCAAAGACTAAGTCAGAACTCAACTCACCAGCCAACATTGCAACATAAATGTGTTTAAAAAAAAGGTCAGAATGTTGGAACAGCGGCGGCCAGGCCTAGAGTGCCCAGGCACAAAGCAGTGGCAACCGGGCCTGGAGCAGCAACGGCCAGGCCCTAGAGCAGCAGCAGCCAGAACCAGAGCAACAACAGCCAGCACTGGAGCAGCTAGACCTGGGGCAGTGGCAGCCAGGACTGAGGCGGAGGCAGCCAAGCCCAGGGAGGCCAGTCTAGGAACACCCAGACCTGGAGTGGCCAGGCCCGGAGAAGCCGGGCCCAGAGCAGCCAGGTTGGGAGCAGCCAGGTCCAGAACAGCAGTAGCCAAGCCCAGAGCATCCAGGCTGGGAGCGGCCAGACTCAGAGCGGCCAGGCCCAGAGCAGCCGAGTCTGGTGCGGCCAGGCCCGGAGCAGCGGTTGCCAGGTCCAGAGCAACTAGGTTGGGAGCGGCGGTGACCAGACCCGGAGCAGCTGGTTGTGGAACAAACCAGAGCAACAGAGGCCAGGCCCGGAGCAGCCAGGCCCAGAACAGCTCGCTCCTCACCTGCCCCACGGCTGCCTCTCAGACATGGCTGGGAACTTTTGTGGGAACTTGAGGGTCTGCTGAATCAAGTGATGAAGGCTTAGATCTGGATGTGTTGAGTTAGTATAGGGCTGGGGTGTTGATCTGTGAGTGCCTTGGGTGGGGCCTGGATGAGGCTGGTTGACCTATTTGGAAATGTCTTTTGTGTGAAATGTATCATTGGGCATGTGGTGGTATTATTGATATGAGAAAATGCTAAGTAACTGATTTACTATCTGAAAAGGGATTTACTATTGGGGAAAGGGAGGGAGGAAGAGACTGAACATAAACTGCACCTATGGATGAGGACAATGGGGGATGGGGAGGGGGTGGAGTGTTGGGTGGAAACCTGGTGGAGGGGGGAAGAAATGAGGAACCTTTGTAACAATTTGAACAATAAAGATTGATTTTAAAAAAACAAAAAACAAAACAAAACAAAACAAAAACTACATTACAAAATTGTAGAAGAAAATTCTTCACTCTCAAGTAAAAAATAATAGATGACAACCCGGCTGGTGTGGCTCAGTGGTTGAGTGTCGACCCATGAACCTGGAGGTCATGGTTTGATTCCTGGTCAGGAACTTGCCCAGGTTGTGGGTTCAGTCCTCAATGTGGGGTGTGTAGCAGGCAGCCAACTAATGATTCTCATCATTGATATTTCTCTCTCTCCTCCTCCCTTCCTCTCTGACATCAATAAATATATATTTAAAAAAATAAAAATAATGACAGAGTCAACTGACTATAAAGTCATTGCAATCCTAAATATATATGCACCTAATAACAGACTTTCAGTACATATAAAATAAAACCTAATATAACTAAAATGAAAAATTGACAAATCCACAATAATAGATTTCAATGCTGCCTTCTTTAGAAGAAGCCTGAAAATCAGTAAAAACATAAAAGACTTGAGCAACACTACTTAAAATTTGACCTAATTGACATTTTTAGAAAGCTCCTCCCATCACAGCAGAATACATAATTGCTTGTTAAAGATACATGAAACATAAACTAAGATATATCACATGCTGGGACATAAAACAAATTTCAATGAATTATAAAAGATTGAAATAAGGAAGAATGGGTTTTCTGAACAAAACATTAATTGATGTTGATAACAGAAAGATAACTGGAAAATCTCTACATCTAATAAGTTGAATACTTTTAAATGACATAAGGTTTAAAGGAAAATAAAAATTAGGAATATGTTTGAAAAATAAAAACAGCATAAACAGTACTCATAGATACTGAAAACAGATTGGTGGTTGCCAGAGGTAGAAGGTGGGAAGTGGGTGAAAGGGTGAAACTGGTGAAGGTGGCCAAAAGGTACAAACTTCACTTATAAAAAGAATAAGTTGCAGGGAGGTAATGTACAGCATGGAGACTATGGTTAATAACACTGTCTTGTATACTGAAAGTCACTAAGAGAGCAAATCTTAAAATCTGTCATCACACACAAAAAAAGTCTGTAACTACATAAGGTGATGGATGTTAACTTGACTTACTGTAGTGGTCATTTCCCAAGTATTTATTATACAAATATCAAATCATGTTATTCACCTGAAATTAATACAATGTATGTAAATTATATCTCTATTACAAAAAAATGGTTTATTCAAAACACAAAACAAATTTCATGACTATAGTAAATTAATCATTATCAATAATATCAGTATCAAGCCACAAAATATTGATATCAGGAATGAGAGCAAAGTCTCTAATAAAGACCACACATGTATTAAAAGGGGAATAAATAAATATTATGAATAAATTCAGAACAATGAATTTGATGAAGTGAGCAAATTGTAAGTTGACAAAATAGCCTTATGAAGAAATAGAAAACCATAATAAGATAGCCTCTACACTACATAACCCCTAAATTTGCTAAAGTTAAAAAGACTGAAAATACCAAAATTGGAAACATCTGAAGCAACTGAAATTCATCTATTTCTGTTGTGACAATCATACAGAAACTTTAGAGTTAAAATTATACAGACCATTTCACTCAGCAACTCCATTTCTAAATTATTTATAGAGTAGAA